TCGTCTGTCAAGTAAAAGCTGTGTCTGAAAAAGACTGGCAGCCAGCAGCCCGGGTGCGCCCTTCCCCAGCAAAGCCGTGGAAATGCGGGGGAGGGCTTCCCGGGGCCCCCCACCCCTCCAGCTCTTCACGCAGACAGCCACAAAGCTGTGCCCGTGCCCCGCGGGCGGGGGCCTGGGAAGGCTGGTAAGCGTTACAGCCCCGCTGGAGTACGTGCCTTCCTCCTGCCGGGAGCGCATGGTGGCGGATACATGGACGGCTGTGGGGCCTGGTGCCACCACCCAGCTCTGCTCAGATGCCGGCAATGTGACCCACTGTCGCCTTTGCACCGTCACTGTGAATGTTAAGACAATGAGAAGGACGCGTAACATCTTAGTTTTATTATAAAAATGGTTCTGACCCTGTGGGCCCCTGGAGAGGGTCTCAGGAATGCCTGGGGCCCTCGGGACATGCATCCTTTGGCTCAGGCAGTAGGATAGTGAGAGAGGAGGAGGCATGGAGCCGAATCGGGAGGGCTTCATGGAGGAGGACTGAGAATTGGGGTTTGGGCAGCGGGAGGAGCAGAGGCAGGGGCCCCAGGACGCAGCGAGACACCGATGAGAAAGGGTGGCCGGCCTGCAGGGGCGGCAGTGGGAGGGGTGCCCAGGGAAAGGGGCGTGATCGCCGTGTGCGGGGTCTTGGATGTCTGTCTGAGAAGTGTGCGCTCCCCGACGTCACTGGGAGCGAGTGCTGTGACCCGACGTGGGGTGGGGCGTGCGTGCCGAGGGTACGAGGCGGATCGGCGGACAGGCAGCGGGTGGGAGGGGCCTGGGCCTCTGACTGCGGTGCAGCCCGTGGGGTCGAGAGCACAGCGCAGAGTGACGGCGCCGGATGCGTCCGAGCGAAGTGGAGACCGATCGCTGCAAAGGCAGAGGCCACCCGAGGACTAAAGAAGAGCCGGGAGGTGACCGGCATGTTGTATTTTATAACCCCAGTTCTAGGGCCAAGGACATTATCAGGAGAAAAGCACAAAAACTGCGTGTCTCCATACAAGGTCTTGCAGACGGCTTTTTCCTTCCAAAAAATCAGATCACTTCCTTTTTGTTCTGACCCAAGCGTGTGTCACTGGACACGTTCCTTTTTGCCCTGCGGCCGGGAGGCTGTCTGCCTGATGTCACGCTGCAGTCGCCATCACCGCTGTCCCGGTGGTCGGGACATGGTCCCCTCGCTTCCTCTCACCCTGATCCTCTCTGTCTTGATGATTCGTTCATCTTAATTGTTTTTATTCTGTTTGAGGCTAGTAGACCTCTTTGTAAAGAGATCGAGGGGAGAGGGAGACGCATGGAATGATTAAGTATCAACCCTCCACGTGTTTTATGCCCCTGTGGGACGGGCCTCCACCTCCTCGTGTCCCCAGGAACCAGAAGGAAGCCGGAAAGGCCTCTGGCGTCCGGACAGACCCACAGCACCGAGGCTTGGCTGCAAAGAAGTTCAATGAGTCGGTTAATCTGGATGCCACTTCAACAGGCATGAGAAGCAGCAAACGGAACTGTGCGGGGGTGGGGGGGGTGGGGGGAGGGTACCTGCTGCAAACAGGAGAAGGATAGGAGGAAAGTGACCCCTCGTCATCGGGGTAATGGCGGAGAGAAAGTGCGGTGCAGGCAGAGGCTGCTGCTGAGAGAAGCGGACTCAAGTGCACCCAGCACGGGCAGCCACCCAGGAGGAGCTGCCACAGGCCCGCCCCCGACACCAGCGGCTCACCGTCCCCAGGTCGCTGTGGCCCGGGCTCTGCTCTCCTGCTCTCCACGCATGATCCCCCCCAGTCTCCACGATAACCCTGCGTTTCTTTCTGTGGTTTCCCTTTCTCACAGGTATTCAAATACATTCAGTTTTAAAGAGATAAAATCTATACACAGAGGCACACGGCTGTTTGGTGCTCTGTGTGTCAGAGTTGTGATCTGAACCCAGAACGAGATAAAACACATATCGGGCCCCCTTCATGTTTACCTCAACAACAATGACAACAATAATAATAAGAGTGGTGCCACTACTAATAATAGCAGTGGTCATGTTCAGTATCTTCTCTTTAAGATGCCAGAAAATACTGTGTACTGTATTTAAGGACATTTTGAACACAAATGGTTAAAGTGACCTTTTTTCAGTTTATAAAAGGTTTATCTGAAAACATTTTTCCAAAGCACTTTATTTCTTAAAAGTTCCCAGTAGTGGACGGTGGGAGGACTTTTTAAGGTGAGGATTTATTTATTCTCTGTCGTCAGTTTTAAACAATTTTGCACCATTGTTTTTGATGAGTCATTTGGGGTTTTTAAATTTTGTTTTGGAAAATCCTTGTTTCCACACCGCAGAGAACAGTCATCCTTGTGAACTGCGTCTTGATTTACAGAGAAAGTAACATCCATATAAAGCATCAGCCTACTGATAGGTGTTGTCACAACTCTGCTCTGCAGGGCACTCGATGCTCTGATTTGTTTTTTTTCCCCTTGCTTTGAATGAGGTTGTTGCAAACATCAGTTCTCAGAGGAGTCATCTGAGATGGTGTCTGGGGTGGGGGCATGGTTGATGCCAGGCTCAGTGGGCTGCAAATTCCAAGCAGCTGAAACACTAAAAATAGCCCAGGGCAGTTCTTGCACCAGAAATGGAAACCTTGCAGTGAAAGATGAAGAGCGGTCTGGGAGGGATGGGTTGTGCTCCAAGGGCGTCTGCGGAGGAGGAAGACATGGGGCCTGGGGGGACCCCGACTCACTGCCCTGCTGTGGCCTCAGCTGCACCTGGGTCTTCTCCAACCCTGCAGACCCAACAGCACTAGCTCCCAATCCCCTTTCTGTCCATTCTCAGACCACAGTCACCTGGTCTGACCCTGGCTCTTCCTTCACAAGCATGAAATTCCCGGGACTGGTCGCCTGAGCGAAGCGGCCGGTTCACAGCTATGGGTCTGGTACCTGAAAACTACCAGGAAATCCTTCTGAGTCATGACCAGTTAGTTTTCCAGGAGCTAAAAATAGATACGCTAAAGAGAGCTGAAATATGGTTAACTAAGAGGATTGGGGGGTTGGTGAGGGGAGCTGGGGGTCACAAAGCCAAGCCGAAATTACTATTCCCAAGGACCAAGGGTTCTGAAGGTCATAGATAGAAGGTGGTGAAAGTCCGTTAGGTCATGAAGGATCCGGTTGTAGGAATATAGTTTTGGCTTTAATGGATTGCAGAATATAAGATTGGGAGCCATTTCTGAAAGGTCCCCAAATGGAATTCAGGGCAACCATCTTACTTAGATGGAAAACCTGCAAAACGTTTTTCCTTAGGAGGTGGTACAGACTGAAATGCTGATGGATTCAGCCAAGGTTAAGGACTGTTGAAGCCGTATGGACAGTAAAGCAAAGCAAGACCCTTCGGGAATATCGAGACCTCAAGAGGCCCTCCAGGGGGGTCACCCTTCTTTCTCACAAATGTTCTCTAGTACCACTTGCCCTTTTTTTTTTTTATTATCACACCTATCAGTTCATCTTCCCTCGGACTTCACCAGGACTGTCTTACAGCCTGGTCACACCCTCATCTCTTTCATCAGTGTCCCCACTACGGGTGCGGCAGGGCACATGGGGTGGCTTCTTCAAGAGGAGAAGCATGAAAGCACCACTGTTGGCGTTGTCGCACTTTTCTTCCTTTCCTTTCTGATTTTTCCTTACTGGTTCCCCCTCTTTTCTGCAGGTCGTCCTTAAAGGAGGCCAAGTGGAGGCTCTAAATGGTGGAAAGCCTGTGGGAAAGCAGGAAAGCAAAAACACTTGGTCCTGTTAACGAAAACCCAAGTCCCGACTCTGTGGGTTTAAGAAAAAGGTTTGACCAGAGGCCCTTCCCAAGAAGGCCCTTGGCCAGCATCTTCCTGCAGCAGAAGCTTATTTTCTGCCCCAGGCCCTTAGCTCCTTTTAAAGAAGTTTCAGAGGTTATTAGAAGTTCTATTTTCCTATTTCCTCAAGCATGGTTCAGAAATTTTAAGAATATTTCAAGTCACATAAGAGCTCCATTTGCTACATCTGGTGCCTGGCATGGGCTAGAGGGAAATAACTAACTATGCCTGAGGCGTCTTCCCCTCACCCTCACCCAGCATCTGAACTGTGCTGTTCTGATAAGAGAACCCTGGAGTTTATTTTGACACAGCAAAGGGAAACAAAGGCAAATGCCCGTGCCCAGCCAGAGGGCTGTTCAGTGAACATTCCCTGCGTGAACAGTTCTCAGACAGCAGCAGCGCAGCATTTCCACGGCTCAGACTCACGGTATTTGTAAGTGAGCTGTGTCTGTTCATGATGAGAACTCCTTGGGAACTGGTTATAGTCACTTACCAATGTAAAATGACAAGACTTTTTAAAGAATTTGCACATTAATTTTTAACCTGCAACAGAAATCACTTACATACTAAACAAGTAGTAAGTGCTAGAATTTTAAAAATATACAAGTCAAAATACATAACTGATATTTGGTAGTGACAGAGGTGCATGTAAACTGAAACAGAAAGTACGGGCGCTGAGGGGCAGCAGCCTCATTTTGCACATTCCGGTTCAGTGTGTGCATTTCACTAGACGTGTCAGCCTTGCTGAGCCCAGGGCTGGCCCCCCACACAGGACCCTTTCCTTTTGGGGCTTACTTGCTGAGCCCACGGGCTTCTTCTCTTGGGCCATCCTCCCACCGGCCCATTTGCCTGCGTGTTAGGCTCTCGTGAGTAAAAGCCAAGAGCAACTAAATAAGAAGATAGTTCACTTAGGTCAAGAGGAGCGATTGGCACTTCACAAAAGCAGTGATTCAGCTGGGCAGTCCCCATAAAATTGGTTCTGCTCTCTAATTAAAAAGCGCAAATCACAGTGACCATGAGCTCTTGGTCGAGTAACTAGCAGTGGACGTATTTCTCTTTCTCTATGAACACATCAATGTACCCATTAAACCTAGGAAATAAACACTTCTAAGTAGTTTTTTTTTCAAAGAAGTATATTAAAATTTGTTTTTCTATTCCATACAGGAAGAATTTAATGGAAAACCTGATTCCCTCTTTTTTAACGATGGCCAGCGAAGAATCGATTTCATTCTGGTATATGAAGATGAATGTAGAAAAGAGACCAACAAAAAGGGTTCAAATGAAAAACAAAGGGTAAGTTTTTTATGTCGCTTTCCTTTCTTTTTATTCCTTGTAATACTGTGAAATGAAAAAAATTATAAAGTGAAACTGGTGTCTGAAATACCGTATGCCCAATGTACCTTCATATTTTCTCTGCTCATTGTTCCCTCAGGGCATGTTTACAAAACAGAACAAAAAAATGTTACATTTGAAATAGAAACTTCCTGAGGCTCTTCAACCTCAGTGGGCTTCACAGCTGACGGCAGGCTTTCTTCCAAGGAGCCGCGTCTTGTGTCTGTAGAGGAGATGCACGTTCAAGCACCCACGGGCCTTTGTTTTGCAGCCAGATGGGAACGATGATGAGGGCATAGAGTCCCGGCGTTCAGCTCTTGCCCGCGCACAGTGGCGGGAACCTTTGGCATGCATTTTCTCACTTAATTCTTCTAATAACCTGTGAAGCGCATTCTGTTACATCATAGATGAGAGGGTTGACCCCTAGGTTCAACGCATGACTGAGGTCACAGACTCTCGTAGAAGAAACCACGGAGCAGAGGTTCAAGTGCTCGTCGTGAGTCTAGGACCTTGGCCTCCCCTGTTTTTCTTCTTTGCATCCGTTGCCACTTCGCCCCAAGCTCTTCCAGGTGACAGGCCCAGCCTNAAAAAAAAAAAAAAAAAAAGAGGGCATACATATAAATTTCCCACTTTGAAAAATCACTTCCTCTTTCTTTATTTTTATTTTTTCTCACATCTGTGCTATTCCACACACACACCTCTAATTGTCCCGCTCTGCACCTTTTCTCTGAAATATGTCATTCTTTATGTCATTCTGCTCATTCTTTCACACTAAGTGATGAAACCTGCTGAAGATGAGCCATCAGCCCTGTTGTGTTTTGGTCCCTGGTTAGTTGTGCCGGGAGGGTGCGCTTGGAGGTTCGGGTTTGCACGGCGCCAGCAGGGTGTGAGGCCGATGCCGGTTTGGCTGGGCGCTGCATCGCCGTGTACGGTACGACAGGCATCGCCTTGTGCTTGTCGAGTCGGGAGTGGCTCCCTGTTCAGCCCAGTGGGTCGAGGGTGCAGGTGGGGCTCTACCCCTGGCAGGCTGGCTCAGGGGCTTTGCCCTGCTCAGCAGGCTGCTGGACAGAGCCTAGGAAGTGGAACTCAGTTTCTGGCTGGAGAGCTGCTCTCAGTGGGGGCGTCGCCCCGCGGGAGGGGCACCGCTGGCTGCGTTTGCCTCCCCTACTAAACTGGCTGCATGACTTGGGTGAATTTTCTTACCCATGTTGTATTTTATTAATATTTTGGAGGTGCATGTTATTTTTACATTTTGACATCTCTGAAATCAGGGTACATTTTACAAATATTATACCATAATTTCAGTGGCTGAATTCTTTCTTATTGGTATGTAATATATTGGCTCATCATAGTCAGTGGCATCATAGATTCAGGAAAATGGGAATCCCGATGTCTAGGCTATAGGATTATGATTAGGATTCAATAAAATATTATATAGCAATGTTATTTAAGTTTTCAGCACATATTAGATAATAGATGTTAATTGCTGTGTCTCCCCTTTTATTTAGGGTTTTCTTAAAACAATGCATTATTAGTTAAAAGTGTGACCTGTTACTGATTTTATCAGTAGAGGAAGTAGATTATTTTATCATTTTCCTGTGGCCACTAAAATATGTCCTGTGCATTGAGCACTGTATGAAATAAGTTAAATAAATCTAATCCATTAAAGCATAAAGGCAACAGATCTGGCCTGATGGGGGCTTCAGTGCCGGGGGAGGGTCCCTGGAGCTGCTCACATCATTACTGAGTCCTGGACCTGCTTCCTCAGAAACAGGGGTCCCAGGCAAGAGGAAAAACCATCATTAACTTGGCATCATGAACACAGGGTACATAGACCACAGTGTGGCTTCTATGAGGCATGCTTTGAAGTGCTTTGAGTCTGTTTTTGTACATGTCACTTTATTTAGTCTCCATCATTTGAGCTTTGGAATCACAGCTTTCGTGATTGGAAAACACTTGCGAGTTCCACCGTGGAGAACGTGAAGGTTCCTGTGGGCAGGATCCTCCCCTGCCCCTAAACTGCCTGGTGATGTAACTGGGCTGCTGCTCGGCAGCTGCTCGGCTGCTGCTCCCACGCCCTCGGCGATGAGCTGTCACTGACTGAGTCACTATATAGAGCGCTGCCCAGTGCTCCCGGGGGGGTGGGGGGACAGGGGCAGGGATGAAGGAGGATTACAGACCTGCAGACTGTTGGATACAGACATGATTCTAGTACTCAACCTGTCACCCAGAGAAAAAGCCAGGTAATAAACCCTTTCACCCCAAGAACGTTCCATTGTCATCTCTCCGTCTCACTGAACCCATAGTGAACCTCCCTGGGGCTGAAACCCACTGGCAAGACAGTTGGTGACGCTGGCTGCCCTCCTGGGAGGGGTGCTTCAGCGGGCTGCCCCTATGGGAGGGGAGACAGTCGGTTGTCCTTCAGTGCACATGTGGTCTGAGGTGGCGTGCCTCCTAGAGGGCTGGGCCCCACCCCAGGGCTGGAGGCAGGTGGAGGTGATGCCTGAGGCAGTAGGGGTGACCCTTGGTATAGTAAGTGGGTCTTTTGAGAGGCAGAGTGCCCATGAGGCAGTAGGGACTGTGGGTTGGCTGCTTCTCACAGCATTAAAGACGTCTGCAGAGGAGAAGGACACGCTCCTGAAAGAGACACAAGAAATGGCAGCATGAGAACGTGAGGTGCGAGCTGCTGTGGGTGAGTGAAGACCGAAATGGCACTGATGCAAGAGGAGGCCACACAAGAACGCCGGCTGTGAAGGGCCGTGGAGCAGGAGAGACACTCCGTGTCTGGAATGGTGTCACTACGAGGTGCTGCGGGGGTGGCACAGGATGTCCTGGTAGCCTGAGAAGCGGCAGGCCGCCAGGTGCCGGGGGGCAGGGGGAGGGTGCAGTGGAGCCATCAGCCCCAGAAATGGAGCGGAGGTTTGACGAACAGGTCGGGGTGGGGGGGCTCTGCTGGTGCCGGAGGCACCGGCAGCCACAGGTTCCCCCAGGAGAGGTGCAGCCCCTCCCCAGGCTGTGGAGCCCCCTGTGCTCTGCCCCCGTCCTCAGCCTCAAGCAATGGAAGCACAAAAGGAAATACAGTCTGCTACTCGAAGGAAGAGTCTAAAAGGCCCCGTGAAGGTCACGAGGACCCAGATGCGGGCTGATTTGGTAAAGACAGGAGCCGACAGAGAGAGATCGGATGGGAAGTCAAGTGGACTCTTACTGGAGCTGTGGCAGCAATGGAAACCGGAGCGGCGGTTCCAGCCGCTGAAGACAAAGAAGCAGAAGCCAGAGACAAAGCGACAGGACTGGCCTGTGTGTCTGCAGGACTTTCTGCTGGAGAGGCTGGAGAAGGTGGGCATTGTAAGGCCCACCCGCGGTCCTTTTGGTTAACTCATGTGAGTAGAACTGGTTTGAATACAGCCAGGATGACCACTTGGTGGCAGTGGGTCTCTTCAGGCTTGAGGGCTGTAATCTGTATATTGTATTATGTTATTATGGACTTCGGTCACAGTATTCCAGCTTCCTTGCACAGGAACCATTGCAGAAGGCTGAGAGCACATAGATTGAGAGGTGAGAGGTGGAATGTGGGAAAAGTGAAGGTCCCCATGGCCAGGATTCTCACCTGACCCTGGTCAGCTAGCTCACTGCACATGGGGGCAGTAAGTTGTTATTGACTCTATGTAAAGAGCTCTGCCCAGTGCTCTGGGCAACACGGTGGCACGGCTGCAGGAGAGCAGAGGCTGGAGTGGTGGCAGCACCGAGGACAGAGGCTGAGACGGCTGTGGGGACGGAGAGGCCCAGAGGCAGAGACTGACTTGCTCTGAATGGACAGGATTCTAGTGACTGACCTGCCACTGTGGAAATGAAGCTGGATATAAACCCTTTCACCCCAAGAACGTTCCATTGTCGTTTTTCGGTCTCATTGAATCCATAGTGAGCTTACCCAGGCCTGAAACCCACTGGCAAGCCATCCACCGTCATCCCTTTCAGGCCTTACTCAGGGTTTAAGACAACATGAAAGAAAGGCAATTTCAAAATCCTGTTTTCATTGGAAGGGGAAAAAAACGACATCTAAATCATACTGATTTCCTAAAGCAGCCTGAGGTTGGCTTTGCCAGGGGCTGATCTAAAGGGTACTGCTCAATACAGTTTCAGAGTTGGAGAGGTTAGAGGTGATAGGCCGACAAACATCAAAAACACAGCGTCTTTCCCTGAGCAAAAGAGAAAACATGTTTTTAGCTGACTCCCCAACTAGCACATAAATTTATCCCCTGATATGAGTGGAAATACTCTGAAATGTAACACCTTCCTTTAAAATAAACATTCTCTCTTAGGCTGTGCGCCGGGTTGATCACACGTTGTGCGGTAATCGCTTGTTTAGCCTGTTCTGTCCTTGGCGCCCCATCAGGCTGAAGGTTGTTTTCTGCAAGTAACAAGAAAAGCGAGCTCCAAATGGCATAAGGGCTAAAAGCAAGTAAGAACTTTCCCCTCTGAGAAACAGCCTGGCGGCAGAACACTTCTGGGCTAGGGAGGCACTCGCTCAACGAGGTCATCAGGAGCCCGGGCTCACTCCCTACGGCGCCCTGCCAGCCTCAGAAAGGGCCTGTTCTTGAGACGACCTGGCTTTGTGAAGAGATGGCTGCGGCGTTCCCAGGCATCCGGAGGCGGGAAGAGGGAACGCCCCTTTTTATGGAGGAAGAAGGTACCCCTGGAAGGGCCCTAAGCAGACTGCCCGTCACCATTCCTTGTTAATCACAGGTATGTTCCAAGGACAGCTACTGGCAAGGTGAACAGAATTACTTGCCTCCATTAGCTTAGACCCACCACTATGAGTCTTTCATCTGAATCCCCTGGTCACCCAATACTGAAAAACCTCAGGCTTGTCTCAGAAAGGACAGGAGGACAGTGACGGGTCAGTGACCGCGCTCAGCATAGTGCGTGATTGATTGTATCCGGGCTAGTGTGACCTACATGGT